AGAGGGAGAGAGAGGGGGGATGGAGAGGGAGAGAGAGAGGGGGAGCAAAAAATATGAAAGTAGTGCCTGAGACAGATCAACAATCAAAGATCATTAAATAATTAAATCATTAAAGGTTAGGTTTTTCTATTAGACAAATTCAAGGGAGAACCTTTGAACCTGTTCCAAAAACTACAATACAGTCATTGTTTATAACCGGAAGACCTAAAGATCTACAATCTAGAATCTAGAATTTGGAACAAGGAACTAATCTAGATTATAACGTCTAAATTCTAGATCTAGTCTAGATATCTAGATCTAGATATCTAGATCACACAATCAAACACTTCATATTCATACATTTTTCAAACACTAGAGTCAAGAGCTAGATCTAGATCTAGGTCAAGACTCAAGACCCTGAACTTGTACGATGTCAAACTTTAATGATTAAGTTAGATTAGGTCAAGTATCTTTTTGGGCATGATGATGGACAGAGCGTTATTATCCGTTATAAAACAAAAAGTTCTGACGATCAAAAACATATCAGAGTCTATACCTACCATGTTTATGTCAGCAGCGGGTCCAGTCACATCCGCAATACCAACACCGACATAGTAATTACTCCCAAAGCAAACATTCCCGAGAAGTAAGAGGGATCCGAGAGAAATATACACCAGGGTAGCCATGGTATACAAACACAAGGAAGTCAAATTCTACTTCCTCGACTGCTATTTACTTTCAGCTAGCAGACAACTCCAGCGGAGCGTCCTGGTTTGTACTGAATACTGAGTACTTAGTGACTAGTGTTGCCCTCGTATTCGTCGTATCTCGCTCTTTCGCTCGAGCCAATGGCCACTGACAACTCTTCGGTCGCGATGGAGGAATAACGGGCCCTCGCCACCTTTTATAATTGACAGAGAAACGATGCCAGTTATTTTTCAGCATCGATACCATGAAAACGTGCCTCTCTCTCTCTCTCTCTCTCTCTCTCTCTCTCTCTCTCTCTCTCACACACACACACACACACACACACACACACACACACACACACACACACACACACACGTGCACGCGCGCACGCACACGCACACACACACACACACACACACACACACACACACACACACACACACACACACACACACACACGTGCACGCGCGCAAACATGTCGAACAGCACACTCATACAACGCATAATAATAAGTGCATGCCATACAATTGAACACATACACCTTGCTTACATGTGAGCGCACGAACATAGTTATGTGGAATCAATCCCACTTGTTGTTGTTGCTGTTGTTTTAGTTACCTAAGTGTTTTACGGCGCTCACAACTGTGTAAGATCATATTATGAGAGCGCCTGACACACCAAACATTTTCAGTTGGTTGGAAATTTTGAATTTTGCTCTGGTGGCGGCCGAAACCTAAGCTCTTATCGATCTTAGACCACCAAGGATCTTTGACATGCGCAACTTGCACACGGGACTTCTGTTTTCTCCATTGTCCGAGAAGGCTGGGTGCATATCTTTCCTACCAGAAGATCAGGGGTGTGGCTGAAAGACAGCAGTAAGGAGCCAAGGAGAAGCAGTAGAAAGGCTGCAGAAGAGCAGGAACCAGGGAAGGGGCGAGGTGAGATGGGGTGGGGTAAAAATTAATTTAGACGAAATCAGACAACAGAACACTGTTGTTAGAGAGCAAGAAAGGATGTGAAAGGAGAAAAGTTGAGAGAAGAAAATTTTTCCATCGCTTCCCGGATTCGAACCCGGGACCTGTTGAATGAGAGGCGAACACCTAAAACTCTAGGCAACGACGAGAGCCCTCAAAAACCCAGTTTAAGTAGGGCCTATATATTTCGGTACCTTAGAATTATAATATTCTATCGGAATATTTTGGCAGTTTTGAGCAGGCCTAATTACTAATATACGACAATGAGGTCAGATACCAAATGTTCTAGATGTTATATATTATCTGCTCTATCAAAATCGTAAGATTATTCAGAGTTAGTTATCAATATTATATTCAAAGATTTGCATTCGAAACAGGTCGAACTGTTGTGAAACTACTCAACATTTTTTTCGTCAAATTTCTTAAAACTAGATGTATAGTGCGGTAAAAAATTCGTCGTGCAACTTAAAATTATCATCAAATGTCTTTTTTAACGGGTGAATCAATATTATCCAATCTTTGCACAGCAGTTTGTATCAATTTGTCACTAAATCCTATTTATTCCAGAACAATCGGGGCTAGATTAAAAAAAAAAATCTTTATAAATTTATATAAAATACTGGAAATCTCTGTCACATGTAAAATGGTATTGTCCACAGCACTTAATTCCCGCGTCTCACACATATTTTCATTACGCATATTATGGCCTACGTCACTGCTCATCAATGACAATTTTGTCCTCGCAAAACGTGTTACAAGAAGTTATTATTGTGAACCCATTTGTTTTATTAATGGTTCTCAAAACATGCGTACAATAAGCATTATGTTCCGATTAGAAAAAACATGACGGACGTGCCATTAAAAGCAATATTTCCCCAGCTGTAATCATTTATAAATCTGTAGAAACCACCCAGCTGAGGGGAATCCCGTCGCCCAGGGGTTAAGGTGTTCGCCTCTCGTTCAATTGCTCCTGTGTTCGAGCCTAGACAGCGACGGAAATTTGTCTTCTTTCACCTCCTTTCATGTCCTCTAGCAACGTTCTGTTGTTTGCCTTCGTCTCCACTCTCTGCCCCCACCCCCTCACCTCCTTTGCCCCCTCCTCGGAGCTCCGGACTCTTTCTTCTGCCTTTCTACAGCTACTCCTTGGCTCCTTCTTACAGCTGTCTTTCAGCCACACACCTGATCTTCAGGTAGGAAAGATCTACACCTTGCCTTCTCGGACCAGGGCGAAAAATCTCGGTGGTCCCGTGTGCAAGTTGCGAACGTTAAAGGTCCCTTTGTGGTCCAAAATCAATAAGAGTAGGCTTCGGCCGACACCCGTGCAAAATTCAAAATTTCCTACCAACGGAAAGTATTTAATATGTCCCTCGCGCTCATATATGACCTTATGCTGTTGCGAACGCCGTAAAACACTCACCCCCCCCAAAAAAAACAACAACCAACAACCCCCCCACCCACTTT